TTAATCGAACAAGGTCAAATTTCCCGACCCAACTCCTCTGAGACGAAATTCCGACAGGCGACATAGGAATCTTGCGAAATGCCGACATGGCTGGTGGCAAAATTCAGACAGGGGACATGGGTACCCCCCCTAACAGGGCCTCTTTAATTTTGAATTGAAAAACCGGCGTCCGGAAGTGGTCACAACCAATGACTAAAGAAGAAAGTTTCAACGACTTAAACAGAAGCCACAGGAGTAAAGAACAAAGAGCTATCCGATGGCATCCGAGACTAGAGACCTCAGAGATTGCTCCAAGCGGCGAAATTTGTAAAAGAACTACGGCATTACTGAAGACGAAAGAAGAGTTCGAACGATGCATAGATCAAGTTGTGTATAAAAGCTAGATAGTGCAGAAATTTGTAAATGCTGTGTAAGTCTTCTGTATAATCCTTTTCGAAAAGCTTATCACAAACATCTCAAGCAACAGAGAGAAAATTTGTGACAATAGCGTCACGGATAAGTAAATTCGCTAGAAAAGACCTTTAGTTTGCGCAAATCTTCTAAACGGCAACAGAATCTTTGTTCTTTTCTTACCTGTCTGCTAAACAAGGCAATACACCTTACAAAAAGGCTCTCCTCATTCATTCGCTCATTTGTTGCAGCTTTATGACGTCTAAACAAATGATGCGCGTGCGCACTTCTTTTCTGCGCCTGGGATGAAGAGAAAGGGCTCTGTGAAGGCGGTTCGGGATTTTAGACATTCCTGGAAAACCTCAATTTTTGTTCTCAGACCCTGCGCCTTATTGGTCGGCGGCTGCGACCACGACCCGCGACAAAAAGGATTAAATAGGATTCTGCAGAGGAATATTTAATATTATTATTTTTTTTTTTTCTGAAAATAAATTTGTTTTTGAATTTCTAAATTTTTTACCAGATTCATGTAAGATTCAAGTTTGTATGAAAAAGTACTCAACAAAGTTTGTTATTATTGTTATTATTATTCTTGTTATTGTTATTGTTATTGTCATTGTCATTGTCATTGTCATTGTCATTGTCAGATTAACAGAAGGGAGAAATCTTGCCGTTCAAAAAAAATGAGCTGTGACGTGTTCTTTACATTATGTCTATCTCTAAAAGAGAGTTTTGTACGAGCTCAGCGTGCTGCTATTCTAAATTTTGTTAGACACTTTCGATTTAACAAATTGACGTCAGTTTTCTCTGCGTCTGTCCTCGTATTGATGATAAATTGCGTCATAACATTGTCAAAGTGGCTGTAGAACCACGACCCTCAGGGAGCCGCAAGGCCCTAGCCCTAAAATGGTCAAATGCCGGAAACATATGATCGAGGGGAAAAGACGCCGTAAACTTGCCGTAAACAATGACGAGAACATTGTCGATAGCTTTTCTCGCTTTTTGATTGGCTACTTAAAAAGTCATTAAAATCTCATATGCACTGGTTAAAAAGTTGACAGTTGAAAGCTTGCATTAATTAAAATTTTATCCGTCTGTGCTCTTATTGATGTTTAAAATTAGCCAATCAGTGCGCGAGAAATTAGACAGTTATTGTAAAATATGGTATTGATTTTTGGTACACTGCAGTTTTATCTCAGTTGAGTACATGAGAAAATATCCTAAAGATATTGGTGAAATTGAAAACAAAGCTCAAGGGTTTCCGTCTGGTCACAAAGGGCATAACAAAAAAAAAGGTTACGAAAGGGATCTTAGATAAATCGCCAGTTTCAGCCCTCGCTAAACAGAGCAGGTAAATTGGGAAAAAGAACAACAAGAGCAATTTGAGTCTAAAATTTGCATCGCTTTTAGCTGAAACGTTTTGTTTCGATTCGTTTCTCGGTTACTGAGGGAAATCCATTATCAGTTTTACAGTTTCAGCAGAATTTGTTTTTCGAAGACATTTTAATTATGTTTCAGCATGAAGTTATAAGACACACTTGGATATTGAAAATTTTATCGATTAATTAATATAAAGAGCCTCTTTTCTAAGCAGGTTGGTAGTCATGTTTTAGCTAATTCCTTGCTGTGGCAATTGGACATAGAGACGACAGCATCTACTAACTGGTATGCTTTCATGTGTCCAGCGTTTATAAAACACGCGGAGAGTGGACGAAATCTAAAGTGAGCAAATATCACCTGAACTGGTTGCTTTGTTCTCACTCTGTGGTGGAAAGAGCACACCTGTCATGGTCGGCAAACAATAAAAAATCTAGACAGAAATTTGCATATGCCAGCAAGAACTTTTTGAAGCGAGCCTCCTTCTAATAAAATTTAAACGATCATGAATAAACCCCACGAATAAAAATATTGAATTGGATCTCAGGAGGCTTTGATTTCTGTCTTAATCCTCCCAAATACGTCGATCTTTGATTGAGTAAAAGAACAGCGCAAATAAATACTTGAAATTTAAAAAAGCTATCTCCAGTTCAATGCAACCATAACTTACAAATAAAAATAAAATGAAAATAATAAACAAAAGAAATAAAATTATTTCTCCATTTGGTACGTCCCGCTAGGAAAAGCTTGCATGGGTTGATTTTGGTGCTGCTTCTCAAAATATGTTGACTCCGACGCAGCTCTTTCGAGCCTCGCCTGGCTTAAGCTGCCGACTGCCATGTTTGGCCTGAAAAAACGTCGTTTCCTTACATTTTTAATGTTAAAATCTTTGTCGCGTTGCCTTTGAGAAGCGAAGTTGAAAAGGTATACCCTTATTAGCTTGGTCGGCCAAGTGTAAAATTTATCAGTTTCAAAGAAAACTGACGGAGTGACGGAGTCAGTGTACGATTGCGGCCGGCCTTATCTCGCGCGTCAGAAAATCATTGCGAACACTTGATGCAAATAAGAGAATTTTGCTAATCGCATACAAGACCGACTAAAATCGACATTAAAATTAAGACTGAGTATGTCTGAAAAATTTACCACTTACACTGAATCAGTTTTCATGTCGCATCTCAGTAAATGAACGCGCTAGCCCAGAATTTGTTTTGAATAAAGTGAATTTCTTTTTGAGGCCGCTATATTCAATGTTGCAAAATAATTAACTTCGATTCAGAGATCTCTGGAGATCTTATAACCCCAACGTCTCTCCCACTTTGCATTTGCCGCAAGCACAAATGAATCAGACTTGTTTCGCATTTATCCCCGACAAATGAGGACGATTAGATAAAATTTACCTTCTACAAGCAAGAAAGGTAGCCGCATCTGGCATTCAACGAAGGCTCCGCCATGATAAACACTTTGAACCGCGGCCACGCGTAAAATGGTTAAGAAAGCTCTCGCTTTATCTAGTTATCATAAATACATGAGACATGAGAATCACGACAAAAGCCGCCTACTTTACAACATTATCCAATGGAAGACGCCTCTGGTAAGAATTTCCATTCTAAAATAGCAGAAGCGGTTTTCAACAAAGAATAGCTTACAACAAAAAGATAAAAAAATATATGATTATCATTGTTAACAATAATAAATATGATTTTTATCGCATGATATAACAAAAAATTGGGAACAAAATAATTAGAATACAGGAAACAGGATGTTTCTGTAGGCCGATCACAATGGGCAATGGTTGCTAGTTTTGTCCCTGGTCGAAAACCATTTTTATTTTTCAGCTGTTTTCGTAAAAAAGCGTTGTCTCTTTGTTTTATTTTCAGTCCCTGTCCTATTCAGAGTATTTTTGTTGTTGTTGCCCCTTTTTCATATCAAGTTTCCAATAACCATCTTATGATGACGTATCTGTTGCCTTCTTTTGGCACAAACCAATTTAGCAGCTGTAATCTTATTTTTTTCTCCTATAACGGAAACTTTAGCAAAATGTGAAATTACAAAGAGATCAAGAGAACCTAATTGTATCCCTGTGGGAGGCCCTCTATGTTGTAGTTTGAGCAAGACAGGTCACTCTCGATTTCACCAACAGCGCTCGTTGGTCGCTCGTTTGGCTCGTTTGCTCCTGTGGGTCTCCTTTGTCATTCACTGCCGAGCCAAACGAGCCACTAAATATATAGACCTAGGACTTAACGCATATATAAATTATTCTACATTCTTTTATCCACTCCCGAGCCAAACGAGCCATTAAATATAAAGACCTAGGATTTAACGCATGTATAGATTATTCCTCGTTCTTTTATCCACTCCCGAGCCAAAGGAGTCAAACTAGCCACTAAATTTATGCACCTTTAAAAGTGGCCCTGTATTGTGCAGTTGCTCCAGGAACAAACAACAACAAAACAAACGAGTCAATTCATACACCCAGGTAGGGTGGGTAACATTCACCAACAAAAGGTAGCGTGAGAACACAGCCCAATGCGGCCGAGCGCGCGGGCGAGAGCCAGCTGTATTCGCAGGCTAAACAAACTGAGAAATATGGTTGAATGTGTTTGAACCCAAACAAATTTTGGCTCATATTTACATGACCACTGTGAGTGTTGTTTCCTCCGGAACGGGCGGATTCTAAAGTTTACTCTTGAATAAACTTGACGTAGTTGTAAGAAAGAAAAGTTCTCGAACAATATGAAATCAACACAGTCAGTGAACAGAGGCTCTCACGAAAGACCCATCCGTGCAATCAACCATTTGTTTGTTTTTGGTTTATTACTTCCACTGTTTTTCTGACTTAGTGAACTGTTGAGCTGAGGTTTCGGTCGATTCGAAGGTTACCTAATACATCCAAGAACAAAAGGCTTCACATGCCATTATACTGATAAAGAAATATGCGCTCTTGATCACAAGCATGTCATATTGCCGGTCACGAGAAAGCCGACACGTTCGGTTGAAATGCGAAACACACCGTCAGTCCCGCAGTTATTTTCAGCAGCCATTTTGACTTGTAAATCAGGCTTGGGGAAAAGCTGTATAAATGTTATTCAGTGCTGACTATGTGTACTCTAAATAGAAGGATATTGACTCTGAAGTTGACGATGGTGGTAGTAGATGTCGATCATCTGTTTGTGCTGAGTTCAAGATGAAGTCCAGATGAAGAAGTTTTTCAGTAGAGGGATAAATTATTGTTTAGTTAATATTACCAATCTCTCTTCGAACAAATGGAAAGAAGTTTATATTCCTTACCTGTACCTCGGCCTTTCAATTCTGCTGTTGTTTTATCAGCGGCTTCAACAACATCACAAAGAATGGTCGCGCTCCCTACAAACAGTCACGAAAATTAAAAGAATTCAGCCTCCCACGTATT